TCATTGTATATGAAAATTACATTTTAATTTTGTGCAAAAAAAAAAATGGTTAAAATTAAAAAATTATTAGATAAACGTTAAAAAAGTTTTTAAAGGCTTTCTAATATCAGTGGCATAATCGCAGTTTTGACAATATTTGAATATCTTAAATTTTTCAGTGAATTTTTAAAATTCATTTCAACTACAATTCATTTAATTGGAACTCCATAGATTTACTAATATTTTTGGTATAGTGTGATATAGAGAATACTTATCTCTGAGCACCTTCACCATCGAAAAAGTTGTTAAGTGTAATCGACAGAATAAAGATTGTGCGTTGATGTTTTCGAAATTTTGGAGTACCTCTGTAAATCTTTAGACAATTTTAACGGAATCCACGGCTCCCAATGTTGCATAGAAAAAGGAAACAGAATATAATTTATTTTCAGATTCATTTCGGAGCTTAATAAGCTGGTTCTTAAACTGTCGATGGATGAGTTCTACAGTGACCACTGCGTTAATTGTAATGCATGAATGAATCATATGAAAATTATTTGCAATTCAAAATTGTGAAAAATGTTGCCATCTAGTTTTCTTATTTTATTTATTTATTATAATATATATATATATTTATATATCTTCTGACCTTTCGCTATATTTTTCGACCACTAAACTCTATTAGAATCTTTTTTAACTCATAAATAATTTTATAAACAAAAATTTATTTCATAAGGACACGGTTATGCAACTATACCCTTTTGAAAGAGTTTTAGGGATCACCACTGTATTTATGTTCTTATGCAGACACTCTAATTAATTTATATAACAGTCATTACATTTCTAACAGAAATAAATCAATTCCTTATTTATATATACATTCCCATTTACCGGTGCGCACAATCCTGAAATCCATTTTACATATTTACTCACTTATTTATTATACATAGACGCGCCATGTTATGAGACTGACCTAATTAAATATTCTGGCATGAAGATTTCCGATTTTCACCGGTACCATGACCTATGTATCTGACACATATATACACACACATATTGCGCCTGCCACACACGGATACAGAAAATCCAACAGCAACCTCCAAAAATCACAACAACTACACCCGGCGCCAACACTCCTCCCCCTACAAACTCGCCTACTCCGCGCACTACGAAGTCAGCATTCACCCCGTTTTGAAAATTGGCGGCACAATTCAAATTGGATTATCCGATATAAGCATGCCAAATGTGTACACACCGCAAACACTCACACACACATATCTACAAACATGCAAGAGGATGAGCGGCGAATGCCGAATGCCGAACAACGAATGCCAATGAAAGTATGGTCATGTGGTACAATGTGCAATCATATTGCTATTGCTGTTGGTTTCTGTTGTTGTTTTTATTGCTGTTGTTGATACTGAAAGTGATAGTGACAGTGGTGTTGGTATTAGCTAATAATTGCGCTGCCTACTGTGGGCACTCAGGCGGCAAACGCGCTAAGCTCCCCATACCCGCAGCGCTTTCCAATGCTTTCGTTGCCACACACATAAACACACACGCTCACCCATAAATGCATATAGTTGTCGCTGCTGTAACATGTTGGCGCACTGGTGTGACGATGAGACGACAACGATGCGGCATTAGATGTTGCTTGTGGTGTGGTGCATTTACGTCTATGTGGTGGTGTCCCAGTTTCCATACTGTCCTTGACCTACTCCACTCGAAAGCGAAAACACGCTACACAGCAACGCTTCGTAATAGCGCAATCGTGTAATCGCATTCGCTGCATGCTTTTTGCTGCGCTCACCAGAGCCGGAAAGTTGTGGTCGCTCATCGCTCAACACTCATCGCTGTTGCTTTTGGCGTTACGCGTTGCTATTGCTGTTGAAAGTAAAATCCAAAAGCCAACACTTAAAGAAGTCTTCGTTTACAAGTAATGGTTGAGAGCGCTTAACAATTTTGCTTGTATAGTGCTGCAATGTTGGCGCGTGACTTTGCTCTTCAGAGGCGCGGAGCGGTCGCACTGCAAAAGAGTCAGCTGTAAGCAATGCGCGCGCAAGCCACCACACACACACACACACATTAATAGCTTCATATTGCAACATCGCTGAAGATTGGACACAGTTTTTGTTTTCTTCAACGCTTTTCGTGGAGCGCGTGAATGCCATTAGAAAAGCTTTGAGCGCCGCGCACTCTCAAATTCTGGAGTCATATGCGCTCTCACTGCTTTATGCCTCACTTGACCGCGCAGCCGGCTGTAGCGCCAACGTCCATACAATTGGCGCTTACCGCGCACTCATACTCAGAAACACATGGTTTTGTCAGCTCAGCTTTTTATTTCACATGCCGCCTAGCTCACACACACACACGCGCATTTCCGTTATACCTATTAAACTGGCTCGGCGTTATGTGTGTTTGTTTCGTTTTCGCTTTCAATGGTTTATCACACATATATTTTTGTGTGCGCGTGTGTGTGCGCGCAAAGCATATACATATACGTTGAATATTTGTAAACAATATGCTTGACCTAAATTACAGTTTCTTGTTTGAGTGCAAAAGAAATACGAAATATATACGAACGTCGACAGCAAAAAACGACCAACCGAAATGAGTAGAAATAAAAAGCTTTAGTTTTTTCAACGATTTTCTTTTATTTCACGAAATCCAGTGTTGATGGTGTGCTGGCTGGTTGGCTGATAGGCCATCTCCCTCCCAACAACCGCTAAGTGCAGTTTAGAATGCAGTACCTTTTGCATCATCATGGAATGGTGTCACCTACACTTTACTCAACAGACCCCCCCACCCCACCTCGCTGCTGTAACAGTGCATTTGGACGCCTGATTATATTTTATTTGTTTGTAGTCTTGTCCTTATTTCGCGAAAGGGGCGCAAATGCATTTAAAATAGGAAAAATATATTGCAAAGCACATTTATACAGTATTCAAATAGGTTCTTATAAATAAATACATACTTACACACATACATACATGTGTAACTGATAGAAAGACTTAAAAGTATTTTATAAGCTTATAAGCTATTCTTTCGCATACTTTTTTGAAAACTCAAACTAAAAATCAATATTTCTTATATTCTGCTTACATATACTGCATATTTACAGGCGCATAACAAGTTCTCATTGAGAACCATAACCTAATTTACTAAAAGCAACTACTTGAGATAATAGATATATGAGAAAGGTCGGATATATTGTATATTTTCAAACACAAATAAATTTATGAGACTAATTTCCTTGATTTTTACGCATTTTATAAAAAAATACACAATTTATACTTTATTATAAAAAGTAATTAAAAAAATCAAAATATATTTTAAAAGTAATAAACATTTTGTGGGAATTTATATTTTTTAATAAATAACATAACAAACTTAAAAACTATATATGAAGCACAATATTAGCAATTTAAGCAATAATATTGCCACCTAATTAACAATATAAAACAATTAAAAATTTACCAAAATAATTTTTGAAAATTTTAACTCAATTAAATGACAAAATATTTTGCAATTTGAGAAATGAAGTTGCCACCTAATTATATAAAATTTAACAATCAATAACTTTTGCAAATTTGAGTATTTAAGCTATAAAATTTTTTAAAATATGTACAATATAAGAAATAAATCTGCCACCATTATCATATAAAATTGAAAAATATAAACACTTAATTTTGTGGAATTAAACTCAAAAAACTTATTTTGAAATTACAAAGCATAAAAATATCAATAAAAACAACAAAAACCTTAACTTCAGTTGCACTGAAGGTATAATACCCTTGGCAAACACAAAAGTGTCTTTACAAGAACTTGATTCCGATCGTTCAGTTTCTATGGCAGAAGAAATTACGTAAAGATATATCGTCAAATGCAAAAGTTTTATATGGCATATTCCATTTTATGTATATTATCAAACAACTAGCCTTATTTAGAAGCCATAATAAAAACTATTGTATTTCGAAGAATTTTGCTTAAAGCAACATCCCCACTATTCAAACTCATTAATTTCGATCTAGGCTATCGGAACGAACCTAAATGCTTATTCGGACAAGGTCTGTTAACTGTTTACTAAGTTTTCCACTGCTGTGACAACAACAACCATTTGAACAAATACCGAATTCTTGGAACAAAAAAAATCAAAATTATCACAGCCGGCATTAATACGAGTTTTCAACACCTGGTTTACATTTTTTAATTTAAACAAAGAGTAGAAAATTTTAGAAATTTCGGTCAACTTTTTTAGACATCTGTCTATAGCTTGAATAGGGTCTATTAAGTTTGCCACGAAGTTTGTAAAACCCAGACGCAAACGCCAAAGACCCTATAAGGTATACATAAAAATGATCAGTGTTACGAGCTAAGTCTGTATATACGCGAACTAGGCCTTCAATTTTTGGGATATCGCTCTGAATTTTGCACACGTTCTTTTCTCCTCAAAAAACTGCACATTTGTTTTTGGAGTTGCCGATAGCGAACCACTATAGCTGCATATAGCTGCCGTACAAACTGACCGATCAAAATTAAGTTCTTGTATGGAAAACTTTTCTTCGACAAGATATGCTTACGAAATTTGACGTATATTATTATCCAAGGCATCGCTACATTCTCCCAAGAAATCAATCAGATCGAACAACTATAACATACAAACCAACCGATCTAGATCATGATAAAGATCTTTTCATACCCTTTCATACGTTATAAAAAATACACTTGACGTTTTTACTTGTTTTTAATGATCTTTTGTCGGGCGGATCTCCGTGTGGCATTTATTGAACACTCCTGATAGAGGCTACATTTTTGAAAGGACATATTACATATTTTGTCTGTTGAATTGACTAATTGATTATTAATTATTGATTACATAAGAAACTTTAATACATTATATCTAAGAATTATGTGTGTGAAAGAGAGTATGAATACGAATATAATCTCTAATTATAACCTTAAAACTTTTTACACAAGTACCAAATTATTAACTCTCTTGTGTCATTTGCTTATTTATTTCTTAGCTGTGCGAGCGGATCGGATGCGTGGTGGACGCAATAAATTCGGACCTATGTACAAACGTGATCGGGCGCGAAAACTGCAAGTCATGCGGCAGCGGCAACTCGCCCTCCAAGCGCTGCGCACATCCATTGGTTCGGTTGAGATGAAGTCGTCACCACTCTCGCCAGGATACCAACAACAATATCCGAACATGAATATAAAGCAAGAAATTCAAATACCTCAGGTAAAAGTCGACTACAAAAACAACAAAAAACAAACAATATATATATATATTTTTTATTTGAATTAAAACTTATAATAACAATAATTGTCGTCGCCTCGGAACAGGTGTCCTCACTCACACAGTCACCGGATTCATCGCCCAGTCCCATCGCCATTGCGCTCGGACAGGTCAACACGAGCGGTGGTGTGATATCGACGCCCATGAATGGCGGCAATGGCAGCAGCAGCGGCGGTGGTGGTGGAGGCGCTGTTGGTGGCGGTGGCAGCGGCAATGGCGGCAACACCGGCACCAATAACAGCAACAACACCAGCAGCGATGGACTCAACCGCAGTGGCAGCGGCAATTGTCATGACACTGGAACTGGATCTCTGCAGAATGCGTCCGAATCGAAAATGTGGTATATGCTTTACTGTCTTACCAAATGTTATTTTTATTACCACAAACTATTGTTGCATGCATTCACATCCATACCAGCAAACGTGCGTGTATGTGTCGTCTTTTATGATTAAATCTCATGACTTCATATCTTCTTATCTCCATATATGTGTGTACTTGCTTCGATTGAGCGGTGCTGCGCCTGTGTTGTTCTTGAAAATAAAATTTTACATGCACAAAATCGTAAGCAGTTCAAATATTAAGGAGAGGTACCGCCAGGGTGGGTTAGACTGACACTTTTATGGCGTGAAGCTCATTTAGAATTAGTTTTGCTAGCGAAAGCAACTCAATTATTTCAAAAATTCGGGTTTTTTAAATATTTTTCTGATACAAGTTTTCTACAGTACTACTTTTGGAAGTTTACTAACGATATTTAATTTCTTAGTTGTATTATCATGCAATTTATTTTTAGAACTTGCATTCATTTTTTTCTTAATTTGTTGCTGAAAATCATTGAACAATATTTTCGTAATACGTGTAAAAGTTATTAGCAATTTTTTTTTATTCTTACTTGAAAAAATAATAACATAAAGTTTTTCATATTCAAAGATAGTCGATTTTTCTTTAGTATTTTGCTTAGTATGTTTAATAAGAATAAAATTAAAGATATTTAAAATTTATTAATAATAATTCTTTATTTCAAAAATTATAAAAGAATATTATTTTCGTATAAATTAAAATAAAAGCGTATGCTTCTTCTATGATAATATTGAAAATAATTTTTTTACTGAAACATTTTTTTATTGTATCTTTTCATATACAATATTTTATTTTAAAAAAAAGGAGAATCGATTTTATTTTAAATTTTATACTTTTGTTTATTTATTTTATTTAAAGCTTGTTTTGTGAAAGCAATTTGGGTAAAAACTTAATAGAAATATGTTTATATATAAAATTAAATCAAGACTTTTGTAATTTTAGAATCATGTTTTCAAGCATTTAGCATATTTTTTAGTAAAAAAATTTAAACAATATTTATTTTTTTAACGAAAATATTTATTTATGAAAATTTGAAATATTTAGTTAACTTTTTTTTAAATTTGTATTGTCTACAACTTGTTTAAAAAAAAATAAGTTCAAGAGTTATTGAATTTTTTTTTATAAAAATCTAAAATTTTAACTACAAAAATTCTATTAAATATTAAATTAAATATTTTTAAATATATTTATTAAAATCGGCAGCGAAAGAAAAGAAATGAAATAAAAGTTTACTGAAAAGTTATTTGTAATAATAAAATCAAGCAGATTGTTTACTGGTTTTTGACAGTTGTTTTGAAATAACTAAATTTTTAATTTCATTGTTATTACTATAGTTTTTTTAATATATATATATTTATGTTCTCCTAATCAGTAATACCAGTTGAAAATTTTTAAAATCAGCTAAAAAAGAGTATATTAAATTATGTAAATGTTGCAGTTAAAAATATATAAAAAAAATTTTTTTTTTTTTTTGAAAAATCAACACAAATTTTAACAAAAAGAAGTTGCGCATAAAGACTAAACTCAACTCAGTTTACTTTGTTATATACAATAAAATGCTGAGATTATGCATTGCCTTAAACTAAAATTTTTAAAACTTAAATCAGATATTTGTAAAACGGCACCTCTCCCTTGATTTGATATGAATGATCATTAACAAGCATACTATACTTATCGCTCTCAAATTAATCTAAAAGATTACCCCGACACTAATATTTTTTTTTATTGTTGTTACAGTTTCGACTCTGGCACGCATCCTTCAAGCACAGCCGACTCCATCATCGAGCCGCTCAGGTGGGTGTTTACAATTTACTTATAAAAAAGTTATTTTAATGCAAATCTCTTTCTATCTCTCTCTCTTATTGCAAACGCAGGGTGTCACCGATGATACGTGATTTCGTGCAATCGATAGACGATCGAGAATGGCAGACCCAGCTCTTTGCGCTGCTACAAAAACAAACCTACAATCAAGTGGAAGTTGATCTCTTCGAGCTGATGTGCAAAGTATTGGATCAGAATCTGTTCTCACAAGTGGATTGGGCTAGAAACACAGTCTTCTTCAAGGATCTTAAGGTGAGTGCGCACTAACGGTGCGACAGACAAAACTAACGCATTGGCAAAAAGAAGCACAAAAACCCTAAAACATGTAAAAAAAAGCTTAAAATTAAAAATTCCAAATTGTGGCATAAAAGAAACGTCATGAAGTGCCCAGCTTAAGCGCCGAGAGCTCATACGTAATCCACGGTCAATTTGTTGTTGTTGGTGCTCCGCACATAATATTGTATTTTTTTGCATATGGATGCATGTATAATTTCATATATTTCGTTTTTATTTTTTACTTAGCTGATTTTGTTGTTGTTGTTGCTGATTTTGTTTGTTGTTGCTTGCGTCTGTGATTTTATACGCGTACGCCGTAACGATTATGTAAACGCACAAGCACAGGTCAGAGGCTGAGGGCAGCGGGTGATGGTGCTGGTGTTGTAAGGGACGTTAGGCGACAATAACAACAACAACAACAACAAGAGCGTTAGCAACATAAAAGCAGCTAAAAAGGTAGTAACAACAACAACAACAACAACAAATATATTCAAGCCTGAATTAAGTTTCGATTTCGTTTGCTTGCTCATGCTGGCTGCCATGTTTGTTGCTGTTGTTTTGCTAGCTTTTGTTGCTGCTGGTGCTGTTGCTTGTTGCTTGACTCGCTCGCTGACTGACTGATTGCTTGGCTGACCTACTTACCAACCAAAGCTGAACGAAGTGAACTGAACGTGCACACGCACACATACACATCCAGCAACAACAAAACATATACATGCATGTACACACAACCACACAGTCATCAGTCAATTCATGCTCATGACGCAACAACACATTGCAATAAGGTTCCACCAATACAGCCGCAGCGCATCGACCGAGTCATTTTGCGCTCGATTATCGCTTTTTTGCATGTGCGTGTGTGTGTGCGTATGCGCTTTATTTTTTTTATACCCACACACATACGTATATGTATATTATTTTTCATGAAAAACGCTTGTTTCTGTTGATGTGCGCGCGCGCACATTCACGGACAAACGCAACAAAATGCGTCCGCCGCCGCTGATGCCAGTTATTGCATTGAAGATGGCGCTGCGTTGACGAGACGTTGCTGCGCGCTGCATGAAACTTGTTTCCAAATCTGGAGCCGCATGTAAACCGCGATTTGCGGCAGCGCGCTCGCGCTCTTCTCGTGCTGTTGCACGTTTCATGAGCGCGTGGTCATTGCTAAAGCTTTCAGCTGAGTACTTAAAGCACCGCTTTACGCGAAGCACACATTAAAGTTGTGGTCAAATCAAGTAAATAAAATTTAGGAGAAGAGTTTGAGATATTTATAGCCAGAAGTTAACGCGTTATGGGTCATACTGTTTCAGCCCCGAAAATAATATCTTTGCGCTTTAGTTGTGTCAGGATTATCAAATTTGTTTTGTGCATTCACCTTCGTAAAGAATGTGGATTATCTTAACTCCACCCGATGAGGTAATTTTTATGCTCGTATTCTATATCTCTTCTACTACCTCCTTCACTTTGATTCCTCGAATTTAAGGATAGGAAAGTAATGACAGTTCGTGCGCAGAGTTCCCTAAGAATAAAATTTCTCTTTCCTTTTTACGTGCTTCTTGCAAAGCGTAATATTCTATAGGCATGTCTAACTGGTCAAAAGAATATTATTTAAGCTTGCTTGGATAGAAATAGATAGAGGTCCCATTTTATTATATGAGTTTGAAATTCGCCTTCCATATATACCTCCAAAAACTGATCTTAAAAACTCGAGAGTCATATTGCCGAGCCTCACTCTATTTATTAGAAGAGGGTTGTTTGAAAGTATAGAGTGATATATGTTATTTTTTAACATAACTCTTACTTTTCCAAACTACAATATGTCTCTCCAAATACCTCAACCTAATCTAATCGGTAGAGGTTTCAATAATCAATTATTTTCTCAGTTATATCAAACATGACAGTTTCTTTATTGGTAATTTATATAACTAAGCAATTTATAATTATTTTTTAACTAAAGCGCATTCAATCTAACCTGAAAAACAGTGTTTGGAATTTCAAAACTCAATAGCTTACTTTTTTAAATATAGCATATTTTTAGGCGTTAGAAATTAGTTTCAAGATTTTCAAATAAATTCGCTGAAAATCTAAAAAATATATTTAACGGAGTGTTAAGAGCAGAAACTTAAAGCGAACATTATCATGATAGAAAATTATTGTCCTATGTCTAGTCGCGAATTCCGGGCGTTGTTCGGCTTCAAGTTGAGGAGTTGTTATCGAGAGCGTTCCCCATTAATCTTTTCACTCCTTTTTAAAAGCTCATAATACAGCACGCACTTCTAAGCCCACCAAATACAGAACATTACCTTGGCATTATGGATATTCAGTTGATTTGTCTGGTTGGCCAGATTACACCAGTCACAATCCGATGCCAAAGCAACTTATTTTGTAGCATTCAAGCAGCACTTCTGACAAAATCTTCTTTCACCGTCTCTCGGTCTGAATTCATATGGCACCCAATGTGTCTCCCAAGATTCTGAGAGCTATTATCGTGTGTGGCAATAATCTTCATCGAGGAATACTTCCAGTTCCTCATCTTCAAACTCTTTTCATCGCCCGTACCACTTTTGACACGTTCACTTAACTAGAGCATGTTCATCAGAAGCTCCCACCAAAACACCATGACTCTCGGCTGAAGGTTTTTCATATTCAAATAATGAAAAAAAACTCTCCGCAAAAATACTTTTTCAGGCACGTTCGATATGCATACAAATTTGAGTATAATGTATAATGATTGTTGCTTACGCTTCAAATGAATAACATGTACTAAAAAAGACGCAGAGGGACCGTAGTTTTCCAACACATGTTTGGAATATTGGAACAATGAAAGAGTAATCAAGTTACGCCATCTCTTGGCAAACAGCATGGTTATAGTTATAGACCGAATACTTTCAAAACCGTATACAAATTAAGATGTTTGGCAAATATATTTTTCTAAACATACTTTTTAGGCATTTGTAACTCAAATTAAAAATATTAAAACTATTTAACATCATCAAATCATTTCCCGTTTGCCACAGGTTGATGACCAAATGAAATTGCTGCAGCATTCCTGGTCCGATATGCTTGTGCTCGATCATTTGCATCAACGAATACACAATGGTCTACCCGATGAGACGCAATTGAATAACGGTCAAGTGTTCAATCTACTGTGGTTGGGCCTGCTCGGTGTACCGCAATTGGCTGACTATTTCAATGAGCTGCAAAATCGTCTGCAAGACCTCAAATTCGACATGGGCGATTATGTGTGTATGAAATTCCTAATACTACTCAATCCAGGTGGGTAAAAACAGAAACATAAAATATTTAATTAAAAAAATAATAATAAAAAATTAAAATAAAAATGTGTAATATAAAATATACCAATTTGGCCTCTAATTTAGATGTGCGTGGTATTGTCAATAAGAAGACGGTCTTGGAGGGTCAAGAGAATGTACAAGCTGCGCTACTGGACTACACGCTGACCTGTTATCCATCAGTGACGGTAATTAAAAGAAGATTTGTTAGAGCTGATATCGAAACTTATAATTTTTTCTAATTAATTTTTCACAATTTTTTCGGTTAGGATAAATTCCGGCGGCTACTCAGCATACTGCCTGACATCCATGCGATGGCTTCGCGAGGCGAAGATCATCTCTATTCGAAACACTGCGCCGGTAGTGCGCCCACACAGACGCTACTCATGGAAATGTTGCATGCAAAACGGAAAGTATAAATCCGCTGGGCCTACTTATAAATGTACACATGTAAAGGAAGGATTGTTCAACATAGATATATATGTATATGTATGTATGTATGTAAGAGGACGACGAAAGCGCTTCAAATGCGGCAGGCGGCAATTTCGGAGGGTTGTCGAATGACGCGGAATAAAATCCAGGGTTGGTTTTTAGTTTTAAATCATAAGAAATAAAGTTAAAATATAAAACAAAAACATTTAACAGTAAACAAAAACACAAAAAAAACAACAATTGGTATGTTAAGCTACAAACACATATACGATAGAGCTGCATATATATATATATATATATTTACATGCCTAGAGAGTAATTTATTAGCACTTGGAACTTACGTTATTCCCATTCACCAATGCAATTCAACTGCAGAATGTAAAAACAAAAACAAAAAATACAAAAAAAAAAGAAACAGAAACAGATGAAACGTAGAACGAATGAGCGAGCAGCGCGTAGATGTATGTATGTTTACAGTTAAGGCAGAGAAAGATAAATAATATATTTTTCAAATGGATATATATGTATATTGATATAGCTTAAGCGTTTATTCATATTAAAATATTAAATGATATATAGATATATATATACACATATGTATGTATATGTGTAAATGTATGTAATTGTATTATAAGCAAAAGTAACGGAGAAGCAACACAGCAAACAATGTGTTCGAAAAACCTTTTAAATTGTTAAGCATTCAAATCGTAAACTTCTATGCCTAAATTTAGTACAACAAAAACAAGTAATGTATCTGTAAACAAACCACTTATTCATAATTACTAGAAAACTAAGCAAAAAATTGCAGAAAAATGCTAAAAGCAAACTAAAAATCGCATCGCAAATCAATGCTGAACGAAGGACGAAAGCTGTGCGTGTATTGTGTGTGTATGTGTGTACATAGATAATAATTATTTTATAATATTTTTTGGAAGCAACAAATACCCGAGGAGACCCAAAAAGCTTTTTGACGAAGAATGATTAATTTTTAAAATTTGTACCTGACCTCAGAGTAAAGTTTGTATTTAAAGAAAGAAAATTGTATAGAAAAATCTTCCAGAAATTGCTAAATATTACGGTGGTTATGCAAAGTGCAACAGCTGTTGTTCAATTAGAAGAGAAAGCTAGCAGAAACATTTTTGAGGTTAGAATGCAAAAAAAAAACAATAAAAACAGAATTTGTATATTTTAATTAATTTCAATTCAATTTAATAAGAAAATATTGACACATTTTAATTAATTTCACAGGAACAGGGCAGGAACATTTGTTGTGGTTATAGCGTGTAAAATTCAATATAAATATTTGTTTGCTTTGATTTATTTCGTAAATGAGAGTTTTTTTTTCGAGCGAAAAACATGCAAAAGGTCAGAACAAAACGTTTGTTTGTTTCTATGTTTTAATGTTGAGTGCAACAGGCTGTAATGAAAAAATTTAAATCATGCAATATTGTAAATATTAAAAAGAATAAATGGCTTCACTATTTTTTTCACCATTTGTTCAAAATTTATAATTTTTCTATAATTTTTTTAATTTACGATTTTATAGCATTTGTTTTCAATGTTTTTTTTAACTTTATCTATTTTTAGTTTTTAACATGGTTTTTCTGATTTTTAATTTAACTTTTTACGTCTTTGTTTTTTTTTTGTTTTTTAATTTATCAGAAAGCTGTTTATTAGTTAATTAATTAATTTTTTATTTTGTTAGCTCTGTTTTATTTTAAATTTTGAAAGATTTTGAATCAAGTATTATTTTTTGTCATATATATTTAGTTTTTTTAAGACTTTAAATTGAACTGTTCAGTGCTTATAAACAATATTCACATTTTAAAACTTTTTATTATTGACAAAAGATTGGCATAGAAATTACAAAAAATGTGTATAAAGCTCGCAGTAAATAAAAAAAGGGAATTAAAAAATATTTTTACAAAATTCGTTTATATGGTATTTTGAAAAGTTTTATCTAAAATATCATTTATTACGTTTTGGCGGGAACTTTTTGGGACACAATTTTTTTAAATCTATTTTTCATTTTGTTATTATTTTAATTTTTTTATTTAATTTTATTATTATTATTTTTTTGATTACTAATTATTATTATTTTATTTTGCTTGCCAATTTCTTGAAAATATTCTATGTTCGTTTCAAAGAAAAATAATTATTTCAAAATTTAAACTTAAAAAAATAATTAAACTTACTATACACCAACATACATATACATATAACCCAACTCCGTGCTTTTTATTAGGGCAACCTTTTGACAAAGATTTTTAAATTATTACTTGCTTCTTTTATTTTTTAAAAGAAATGTGTGAAAAAAAGCAGCCAGATGCATAGCTTTGAAACCGTGCAGTAAATATGAAGCAGGAAATAAAAAGTAGGGTTAAGAGTTGCCATGTTTCAAAGTTTCTAGTTCAATAATTTAAACGAAAATGGTTTAAAAAAATTTGTATTTTCACGCTTTTAGACAATTTTCACAGTCACTTGGTTTAAAGCACTTGTCTGGTTAACGAGATTCAGACAATAATTGTCCTTACGGCCTCTACTTCATCACATATTTTTCCGCCAATTTTATTTTAATTTAAAAAATTATTTATTTTTACATCAAAAACTTTAAATTTTTTATTTTATATGTATGTACATATATTAACGTTTTTTATATGCTTTTCAAGATTAAAATTTTTTTTATTTGCATTTTAGATTTTTTTTTTCAATCAAAAATGTATATATGTATGTATGTACATACACAAACGCGCAGCTTTCGTAAAAAGAGTAAAAAGTGATTGAAAACAAAAAAATTATATACAAAAATCCAAAAAAAGTAAAGAATTATAAAAACTTTTGCTGCTTATAAATGTGTAAATAAAGTTAACTACCTGATTTTTTCGAAAAATTTAAGCTAAAAAATATAAAAAATAATGTATACAATAAAAAAGCTGTACACAAAATTATAGATATATGCATATATGTAAAAAGTACTAAAACAAAACACGAACGAAAAAAGTAAAGAAAAAATCCAAATACATATATACAACCACACTTGCATATATATATAATTATTTACTAAATTTGTTGACGATTGTATGATTAATGTTAAATAGTGTTCTAATGTTATTAATTGTTATAATTAGTGTATTATATATAATGTACATTTACATACATACAATATACGTATATACTATATATGTATGTATGTAGTAGATATATATGTAATTAGGGCTTTATTGGTTTAAGTAGTTTTTTACTCGCAAATTTTTGAAAAGTTCATGAAAAACGTTTTGTTGTTGTTGTTTTTTTTTCTTTCACTATTTTTTTATATATATATACATAATTACACACACAAACAAATACAATTGATGCTCTTTTAAGCGATTTTGTGTCTTTTTCTTATTTCAAAAAATCATTCTATAAATATTATTATTACTATTATTATAAATATATGTGTATGTTTGTATATTAACTTTAAGGTTTATAATAGTATAGGTGTACAAAATAAATAATGACGAATAAAGCAAAAATTATTTGAAAATAATGCAAAACAAAATTTTAGCTAGAAACCTTTGCTCCCGACAAAACAAAAACAACTAAATTACAAAAACAACGCAATTAACAGTAATTTATTTCAAAGTGTCCTAAGCGTTGTTGTTGTAGTTGCAGTGCGCTTATAAAATAAGAGCAATGCATTTGCGGCAACACAAATTCACACATACTCGTACACACCACACACACTTACATATATGTATACATACTGTCAAATGCCTAACTGTTTTGTATGCTTACTAAATTGTTTATATTCAAAAGCCAATATGCGTGTATGTTTGTTTGTAAGTATGTATGTGCAAAAGTATTATTTTTTTCTATCATTAACCTTTGTGTTCAACGAATAATTGTTCAGCTGCAATTATGGGCATGCATACCTATGCAAAAAAATTCAAATGAGGTGATTAATAAAAGGTTTGAAACTAAAGTAAAAAATTAAAAATTAAGAAAATAATAATAAATAAAAATAAATCAAGTAAAAATTTAAAAAAAATAAATTACAAAAAATTAAGATTAATATAAATTTAAAAAATAAAATTCAAAATTAAAATTTTTAAAATACAAAAGTGCATATTTAAAGTATATACAAATATACATACATATGTACATACACGGAAGCAACTAGTTTTTATTGAAATATAACACAAACACTCCCCACTGCTATTACTTACTGGCTAAAGTGTAGTTTTCTCAGCTATAACATTATGTTAAATAAATATATGTATACATACATACATATATGCAAACATGCATATTAAAGTTAGAAAAGAAAATTAATGTAAGTGAAGCGCGTACCTTATAATTACATCAAGTGATCAAGTTATGTTTATACATATATACATATGTATGTTGAATTCAAAAGGTAATGAGAAAATGGAGGGTAATGCAAAAAAGCAACAACACATTGGCAGAATCTACGCTAGTGGAAAAAAATTTTTAAAAAATGTTTTATAAACGGTTTTTATTTAATTATTAAATTTTTCTTGACTTTTTAAATTTTTTTTTAGAAAATATAAAAAAACAAAACATTGACGCAATACATACGTCAACATTATTGGAAAAAAATTTAAATACCAAAAATTTTGAAATTAATTTTTCTTGGTCTTTTTAATTTTTTTAAGTAAATGCAAAAACAGCAACCAAAATTTTGAAATTAATTTTTTAATTTTTCTTGGTATTTTAAATTTTTTTAGGTAAATGCAAAAACAGCAGTATATATGCACATTGCTAAGAAAAATATTATTGGAAAAAATTTAAACCCAAAATGTTGTTTCTTTTTTGAAAAAAAATTATTTATTTTTAATTTTTACATTGTTGATTTTTGTTAAGTTATTGCAAAAAAAACAACAGATTGGCGGAACAGATGTTGAAATGTTTTTAGAAAAAATTAAATAAGTATTTTGCAAAAGCAAAGCAGTTGGTTGGGCATAGCAAATAAGGCAGTTGTAGAGAAACAGCAGATAAATATAAAATGACAAGAAAATAGCATGACATAAATAAAAATAAGTGTCATGTGATTGAAACTAAAAATTTCGCAATACAAAAACCAATAAAAATGTCAAAGCAAAGATTTCAGTTTAAAAAAATGTCATGTAATACAAAATGAAAATATCATGAAATAAAAAAACATATGTCAAGGGAAAAAAGTTTGGGCATAACGCACTAGTAGGCATGTGCGGAAGCTCAAAGCGCCCACCAAAAAACACACACTCGCATATGTTTACATGGGCAAGTGTGAAGAAAGCAAATACACATGTGTCTTTTGTATGCGAGTGAGTGTGTACAACAGTGATACTACTAGTGCAGTTCTGCCAGTTTGTATATGTGTATGTATGTTTGGCAAAGCGTGTCAGAGTGTTATGTACATATGTATGTATGCATGCATGTATGTAAGTCCTTTGCTGTAGTTGTGCATAAAAATTTAACTGTTATATTATTTAAGAATAACTGTACGATTAAGAAAAAATTGAAAAAAAGAAAAACTAGAACAAAAGCAACATATACATACTTGTATGTATGTATGTAGTGAACATGTGTATATTAAAAAAAAAACAAGAAACCAAGAGCAGAAAAATTATATTAAAAACAACAAAAAAAAAACAAATATACATATACATATATATTAGAACAAATTAAGAATATAATATAGTTTATTAAATTTAAAGTAAAAAAAAAACAACTACAAAATAGGCATTGTTGAACACCGTGTAACGAAATGAAAAATGTGAACCTGTTAAAAAAGTGATTTTAAATATAAGCAAAAGAAAAAAATCTTTAAAGTTTTAAGTTTTAATTGTTATAAAATACTTACAAGCAAAACAAAGCAAATGAAATGAGAAATGCAAAAATAAAAAGCGAAAGCAAAACAAAACGTTGATACACACACACACACACACAGATAGTTCATAAATATAACTACTAATTAATTCTGCTGTTATTATTATTATTATTAATATAACAATTATCATTTTCATCTCAGAGATGTGTTTCAAACAAAAAAACAAAAAAATATTAAAACATTTTGTAATAAACTTCTATTACACTCCTGACTCATTTAAACTCGCATGTCGTATGTTTTGTTGTAATTGTTGTTGCTAAATGCAAATGTTAACGAAATTCATTTATCGATTATATTTATTAATCGAAGCAGTATCGATCATAGGGTAATTGGTTTTTATTGTTGTTGTTATTGTACTATTAGCAACAAATTGAATGCAAGCTATAATCCACTTGCCGAGCTTAAGTGTCAGAAATCTTCAGCTTTCCCGGCTTTGAGCAAAAGGGAGTTTTGTTTCAGGTGATTTGAATGCCTCAAAAAGTTGAAGAGTCTTTCCCACTCTTCCCAGTACACCGAAGTTTTGACTTCCAAGATGTCCAAATGTTTCTACCTCGCCTTTCCCCAGACAACTTTGACAAATGGCAAGAAGTTTAGCCACAATGCATGCCTGACAGACCGCTTCACGGGCTGCCCCACTTTAACCTTGTGTTTGATAGGCACGAAGAAATGCCATAGGCGCCAGCACGTGTCCTAAGAGTCATAATGTTATGAAACCAATCGAACTAATTTCTCCGTGGCTCCTATATATCTGATCTAATATAATGATTTTCGAACGCCCGGTCAACCGGTTCGTATATATCGGTCAATATGTAAGATATCTCAACAAAATCAAGAAAACAAAGCTTTATACGAGTATTATTGTGTTCGTAATGGGCGAAATCGATCCATTAATTGTACTAGTTCCTATATGCAGTATACATGTATTGATTTTCGTCGTTCTAATTTAAAATACAATTCTGCAGACACTTGTGAATATTTTCCTGCCTTTGATCCCTGCAAATTCCATGGGTATATAATATTCGGCAGCGGCCGAACTTAGTCTTCTTAATGTCATAAAATGTTTCGCCTATCTCTAATATAACAGACAGGTGCACATAACACCCAGCAAAATTTTAGGTTTGACTGTATTTAGAAATTTGTGTATATTCCCTTGTCGAAATTTGAAGATGGCGGTGACCTTAGTTCTGAGAAGATCAAATTTACAGGTTGTATACATTTGCCTTTGCCTAAATATAGTAGTTTTCGACATAAGAAGGTATACGTACTCATTCAGCAAGATGTCAAATAACTCGTTATGCTCCCAAGTCAAAACGCAAATAAGCACCTTTCAGTAACTCGAACTCGTTAGATTTGATGAAACTCCTGAGCTATTTCTACAATAGTTGCTAAATTTCTTTTAAAGTTAAACATTGCGGTACCATGAAATGTATCTCATCTGAACCCACTTAAGGCAGGAATTCGCAAAGGTAATTGCGTAAGATTGCTCGAATCTCTGCACATACACTACATTCTGCCAAATCAATCCATCTTACCTACGAATTGTAGAACCCTATCATGTTTTCCTTTCACTCAAAAGTTTTAGATTGTTCCCAGTTTACCTATATCTAGTCAAGTCTGGAGGCAAAATCGTTAAGTGTGGTGTGGTTCTTATGACCGGCGAACTCTAACTCAATACTTGGCTCTCGCCCGTTCTATTGAGTTATAGCTCCAGTGTACAGAAAACAAATTTTTTACAACATTACAAATATAACATTGAGTTCTCTACTAAATTTTATATTTCGATATAAATAAAGATTACATAAAATATTCTACAATGGTAAGTATACATATAGTCTTCTAAGCAATGTATGTATATTATGCCGATCAAGCAAGTCCAATTCATTTAACGAATATGTTTGTAAAAAGTCAAAGATCCTTTTAAAAATTCGGGAATGCTGTAATCCATTTGTCGATCAGCCATCGAAGTTCACTGTCGATTTACAAATCGTACTTTGTATGGCTTTGGTGTCAGCGTAATGCCCGGTTGTAGCACCACAGATGGCATTGCCTCTTCGCACAACTCGATACGGAAACGATGGACAATTTTGGTGAGGAACGAAAACAGGCATGCACGAGCTAAAGCATCGCCCAGGCAACGACGACGACCCTGACCGAATGGCATAAAGTACTCATCGCGAAAGATCTTACCCTCAGCATCGAGGAAACGTTCTGGTCGAAAGACTTCCGGATCACCCCAATGCGTTTTGTCCATATGTACCACACGCAGACCAATCAGCACAGTTGTATCTTTAGGCACATTATAACCGCCGAGTGTAGTATTGCGCAGGGCACGTCGCGGCCCGGTAATTGGTGTTATATGGAAGTAGCGTTGCACTTCCATAATAAAGGCGCTCGTATATGGAAAGTATTCACGATTACAAAGATTAACGGGAATTTTATGTTTCTCCAAATTATCGGTGATTTCATCATAAACACGCTGTTGAACATCACGATTAAGGGCAAGCATCATTAACGCCAAATCGGTGGTATTGCTGGTGGTTTGTGAGCCGGCAATGAAGAAGTCCAAAATAGTCATTGTCAATTGGGTTTCACTGAAAGTGGTGTTCTCTGATTCATCACTATGTTCGTTCATCTCCCGTATGTAAGCATAGATTAGATCACTTTCGGCATTCTCTTTCGTAATGCTAGCGCGATGTTCGTTAATCGCTTCCAAGAAGAATGCATGCATCTCTTGATTCATTTGGCAGATCAGATTGTAGCCGGTCCAGTTGGGCGCGACATAACGCAACCAAGGAATTTGTGATAATACGCCACCACAGATGTCGAAAACCTTCGAGCGCCGATTCAATAATTCCAATAGTTTTTGCAAACGCTTATCGCCCCGTCCAATACCCTTACCGGCCGTCAAAGTCCAGAGCACATTGAGTACACTCGGCGCCAGAAACGAACCCGGCCAGGTAGGTTCTCCCTCCAGCTCATCGATATATGAGAGCAAGCTGTCTGCTTCCTTTTCGATGTACTGCTCCATCTCTGTGCGTCCGTAGCCGACATGCCGCATTTGTCGCATAGCGAAACTGCGATGCTCCTGCCAAAGTTGACCATCGGTGCAGGTAATGCCTTTGCGTGTACCCATTGTGCGCAGGCGTAGAAAGAAATTATCGGGACGTCCATCAAACACTTCGCTTGTGTGCACCTCGTGCACTAATGGATACGAAAGTGCAACCACGACGTATTCGCTACCCAATTTAAGACCTAAAATATCGCTGTTGTACTTTTTGGACCACTTCTCAAACACCAAATGTTGGCCACCGCTGGCACGTGCCTCTTTGCGCAGTTGAATGGTGTTGCCCATCCATGGTATAAAGTCGGGACCTGTAATTGTACAAAAATAAACATGTGGTTATTACATGAAAGTGTGGTGAGTAAATGTAAATATGGTAGGAGGATCGAAAACTAGCCTGCAGTTAAACCGATAAGGTGGATAGCGACTTTGGAGATCCGCTATGATAGAGAAGCATTTTCCGTAACTCTCCGGGATCCATATCAGTAATTAATATTTTTATTGTGTTCGCAAAGCCAAAGAAATTTTGGCGAATTCAAATTTGAGATGAAAATTATTCAGACGTAGAAGTGATTGATTACTTAAAAAAAAATGTAAACCTACAAAAAAAAATCTTCCTTTAACCTTATCTAATTTCAGAGAACAGAGCTCAAACGCAAAAAGCAGAGAAGGAATTATTAATGCGCCCTGCGAAAAACTATTTTAAAATTCTTAGCTTCCTTAGAAAGCAGTCAAAAAAAGTTTGAAGTTTGTGAAGATAAGGCTCTAAGTAGTAGATAGCCCACCAAATCAATGTTAAACAAATACCTATCGTCCAAAACTAGCTATCAGTAGTTTGGTGTACCAAAATACCATATCAGTGGTTGGTTTTTTTTTTTTGATATATTCGATAATTACGTACATTTCCTTGTTAAGTTGATTTATAGCTCACAATCGATTTCAGTTCGTAGTAACACGGTATTGAACTACGGTATTGAACTTCTGTGATTAGTTGACAAAAATAGATGTGCCAGCGATATACTTGTAGAATACACGAGAATGTGGAATTGAAAACAAACTGAATCCGATGGAATAAAAAAATATATAAGAGGGCTTTACAACTGGAGAGTATTTTTTTTGAAATGAGCATAATCTCACAGAGTTAAGACGTGTCCTTGTGAGCAATGAAACATTCAATGAGTGGCTGGATTTTGAAACTAAATCTCTAAATCGAGTAATTTCTTTTCCTGTAGAACCATACCAATTCGTTAAAGGTTCTATTTAGAGCATATTTCAGTTAATGATGCACATTATTTCAAATTTCGTCGTGGATCATCGTGGTTGAAAATGATTCTGTAGGTATCCATATATGTATATAGGAATATAATCTCACCACGATCTTATGGAAAGATAATTACTTTTTTTTCTTAGAGGCGAGTTTTCTTGAAGGTATAAATTCACAAAATCACAATTACTCTGCTATAACTCATACACGATTACATCGAAGAAATGTACTACAACAGTTCTACGCGGAAGATTTTTCTTATACCGAATGCCTGCTTTTCAATTGTTGTTTTGAAAAAGGTCAAACTTTCGAAAGGATATAACGACTAGCATGTTAATATCTACCTTAGATTTAGAAACCATCAAACGAGCACTATAAATGAAAACTTTTAAGAAAATTGAGCTTTAAACACAATGTTTATAATGTTACAATATGTATTAATAATCGCTTTCCTAGATACTTTAAGGAGCTACTCTGTCATGAAATTATTGACCAATTCAATCGAGCTTTCGATATTCGCAATCACGACACATCAAGAAGTGAGCTTGGACTCGACAAATGAACGTTAAGTTTTCTACCTTTTCTACAAACTTACATTTTACAAAAAAACAAAAAACAATAAGAAAAATTAAGGAAGGCCTGAGTTCGTATGTAACCGAACATTTTATACTTTTGCAACTTATAAGGATCAAAGCCGGCTAAATACCTTCAGGTGTTGTCAATATTAAAAAATGTCTCGAAATGGTTCAACTTCATTGTTCGATAAAATCTTAAATGGATTACAATCAAATTTGGTATCATATTAATTTATTTTGAAAGTCATAGACTGCCTTAGTTTTATTACTATAAGTATATTAAAATCATCCTCAAATGAGATACATATACTGATGTGATATAAACTCAACCCAAGCAGCTAAATCAAATATACTGAGTTGATGTGAAAAACGTCAAGCAAAGATTCGGAATTATTATATTATTATTCATACAGTTCATTTATATTGAGCGGTAAACCATTAATATAATATAATCTTATAACGATTAAGAAAACATGTCCACTTAATTTTATTAAAATATCACACATTTTGACCAACCTGTACGGTATAAAGTCAGGTGGGAATTCGGAAATCATTATACAGGATATATTAAGGGCTTAGAAAAGGAAGGGCTGATTGCATTAATTTTTTAAATTGCTCAGGTATACTTGAGAACTTTTTTTCAAGCAATTTCATAAATAACTCCCACATTGGCCGATATACTCAACTGAAAGTTCGAAAATCTTTATATTAGGTATATGGAGGCTAAGGGAAGTATTGACCCGATTCAACACATTTTTGCGCAAGGACATAATATTATCGAAGACGCATTTTCCCCGAATTTCAATAATATATCTCACTGATTGACCGATATACTCGGCATAAAGTCAGTCATACGCACTGGAGTCCACATATTTGGCGTCTGGGTTCTTCAAAAGTTAAGGTCCGATTTTGACAATTTTTGGGCGTAAGATAAAATATCTTGAGGGAACTATTTGTGCAAACTTTTATCCGGATACATCGATTAGCTCTTGATTTGTATACTGGAGAGCGAAAGAATCAGATGCCATTTAAACTCCTGCTACATGGGAAGTAGGCGTGGTTTTTGTCTGCTTTTACCCATTTCCACACTGTAATGTAGGAATGTAAGAATGAAATCACATACCGAAGATTGATATCGGTCTGGTAGGTCCTTAGATATGGGTTTTCACCTAAATATGGGCGATGCCACGCCCATCGTCCAATTTTGATACCGGCTTCTATAAAGACTTCTTGTACCATCTTGGTTGTAAACTGAAGCATATAGTTATTGATTTATCGCGCTTTTAGTACCGTTTAACAAAACCGTTACATGAGGAGAGGGTGGGGTTAAAATCCGATTTTATCCATTTTTGTACTGTCGGTTTTTGATGGATTTACCTCAAGGGAATTTGGTTGTTATTGCTTTATTGGTCTAGGAGATATGTATATAGGCAAATTTTTTAAAAATGTTTACTCCTCATTTGTCCCCTGCTACTGCAATCCCTTGTACGTAATTACAGTCTTATATCTTAATTTATTACTTAGTTATGGCAATTTATATGTTTTCGATTAATGGCGTTTTGTGGGCGTGGCAGTGGTCCCATTACGCCCATCTATGAATTCGTTCTTACTTCTTTGCCAAGAAACTCGTATACAAAACCTCATTACGATATCTTAATTTTTACTCAAGTTACAGCTTGCACAGGCAGAAGGACGGACGGACAGGCAGACACTCACGCGGATTTCAACTCGTCTCGTCATCATGATCGTTTATAAATATGTAACCCTATATCTAACTCGATTAGTTTTATGTGATACAAACAACCGTTAAGTGCACAAGACTATTATACTCTGTAGAAACATGTTGCAAGAGTATAAAAATAGAATAACCTTACACTTCTCAGAACACACATATTTATAATTTCTGTAAGTTAGACGTGAAACCCTGTAACTTATCATAGGAAACCCATACCCCAATCGAACGGAAATCTATTGGAGCGCTACGTGTATTTTATACATAATGTTAAAAGTATGTAAATGCAAATATGTATGTGCATATATATTAGCTAAATCGACACCTGGCAACCGCAACAACCCGTCACCACAAATGGTTGCACGTCCTCAGACGGGCCTCTGGTTGATGATAATTGACAGCCTTTGACGTGACTTGTTGTTGCGAGCGTGCGTCGAATCGAAGTATGGCTAATAGATTACTAACACCCATCAGTTTATATAACAATAACAACAGCAAAGCAATATACATAAGTAATCAGAACACTACGAACTGAATGTTTATTTTTGTTGTCATTTTCGAACTTTGGACTAATAAAACAGATACTTTTATAATTCAAACTTCTTTCGTACAATCACAAAGGTAAGTATGTGTTATGTATGTCAGATAAATAAAGAGGAAGTTGCTATTTATAAACACCGCGTCTTAATACATACATACACATATGACACGAGGCCATTAAGGTACTTCGAATGGGTTTTCCGCTTTTTCTCAAAGGATAACTGAACAAATTATTGGCTGCACGCGTACATAATTTCTTATTGGACTTTTTGCTTTTAATTTGAATACGAAGAATAGTGGGACGTAATATAGTTAATTAGCTTTTAAAAGCATTCGTACATATTACACGAGTAAATGCAGTTTAATGACACACGAGCCTGTTTAAAAAGTGTGCGATTTTTCTTTCGAAATTTTAATATTTTTTTGTGCACACCGGTATATACATACATATATTACATGTATATGTGTCAACTATGGAATTATATTCAGCTGCTTACCTTAAATAATGAATTAAAATAATTAATTTTTTACATTTTATTGTGGAGTAGAATGTGGAGCAAATGCTTTATCGCGAAATAGTTAGAAGTATTTAAAAACCGAGTACACCTAATTTTCCTTTTACACGGTGGATTTGTTTAAGGAAAAACCATAAAAAAACGTATTTATCAAAAATGAAATCTGACAAATAAAATTTAAGCCCAAAAAATTTGGAAACATGCTACATGGAATAAAATCGTGTAAAAATTTTATTTTCAAACCGTGTAAAAACATAATTAGGAGTACATTGTGTACAGTGTGCCACGTCCACGCTAAAATTATATATATACAATATTATGTAAGTTTTCTCATATGGCGATCGTGGTCCGACATTTAATGTCTGACAAGAAAAAAAACCTAATCAGCTGAACTCTGTCACTCAGCTAGCATCAAAGCTTCAGCCACAAAAAGCAGAAGCAGCTCAATAGTTTTATTAGAGTTACTTCGACGCATAGCCTGTTTACGACGACAGCCACGTTATAATTCGTAGGTTTGTTGATTACTATTATATAGCACATGGGCTCGATGGCAACTTCCGTCGTCAGGATATGGCAAACCTTTAAGTATCTCTTGAAATTTAAACGACATTAGCTTCACCAACAATAAAGCGAATATAATATTGCAAAATATGGCGTCATTACCTCGTCCTCAACCATATGCCATTCTATGGATCTATCATAGTATCTAATTAAAAACAAAATATTCCAACACGCTATATCATAAACAAAACGAAATATCAAACTTTCATATTAATTGTAAACAAAGCCTTCGCCTTATCTTATTCATGATGTCGCGAACCAATATATTTTCTGTCTAACACTCTCCAAAAAAAAAAACAAAAAAACCGATAGAAGATAGTCTCTATTTCTGTCAATTTTTATTTAAGTGAACTTATTCACTACAGCATTTTTGGTTATTAATTTGCAATGTACTAGATCAGGTCCTTCAAATATTTTTTATAATTAATTTTGAATAACATACAACTTGTTCTAAAAATCAATGCTTTTGAATGAAAAAGGTGTAAACTTATCGTCTGGTGAGTTGTAACACAATCGCTACCAAAAAATCGTAAACTAATATGAATTTTCCAAATTAAATTGTACAAAATTGTTTTTAAAATACCTCCGCATAATTAATATAATCAAAAGTTGTTCGGCTTGAATAAATTAATCAGTTTCCAGTTGTTTGCTTTCATTTCGAAACGTGCCTACAAAACAAATAATAAAAGGAAAATTCACACTTTATTGAATGCATTGTTTTCAGACGACCCCATTTATATAACAAGCGATACTAAAATGAAAAACAATTCATATCACATTTAGTTAAATTAAAATTTAGGCCATTTTATTTCAATTATTTAGTTGAAAAATGGTTGTGGATATATGTAGGTGGGCTATATCACTTGGTTCAAACTGTTCTGATCAGGGTTGCAAATAATGCATTAAAAATGTGAATAAATTAACATTCAAATAAAATTTTTGTTTATATTTTGTAATCTCGAACATCTTAATTAAAAATAGGTTTCGAACTGCTAATACCAAATATCTGATTAAAACGCTAAAAATTAGTTTTTATTACCAAAAATTGAATTAAAAATTAAAAATGAAAACTTTAGATTAAAATACCGGATTTAAAGAGTAAAAAATGTTATATCCAAGTTTGTAATTAAAAACTAAAAAAAATATCTTTTTGAACTTAAAAATATTTCCCGCTTACGTACTATCCATCTGTTCTACCATTTTGGTTATATTGAAAACGTATTCTACCCTGAACAGGGTGTTTGTAACACCCAACAAGAAACGTCGGAGAGAGTATATACATACATAATTGATCAGCGTCACAAGCTGAGTCGATTTAGCCACGTCCGTCTGTCTGTCCGTCTGTATATACGCGAACTAGTCTCTCAGTTTTTGAGATATTGGTATGAAATTCATTTGTCGGAACCCCCGATATCGGACAAATGTAACATACTTGTATAGCTGCCATACAAACTTAATGATCGGAACCAAGTGCTTGTATTAAAAACTTTATCATTTGACGAGTTCTCTTCAAGAAATATGGATGAGAGCATTACCAAGTCATCGCTACAATCTCCGAGAAAATTCGAGACACCGACACTATAGCATATAGCTGCCATACAACTGACTGATCAAACTAAAGTCCTTGTACGAAAAATCTTTTAGTTGTTTAAGTATCTTCACGAAGTAACGTTTTTTCTTGTTTTTCGGCTACAGACAAGAGAAGGAGAGTTAAAAGCCTTGAATACTACTACAAACATCAGGTAATGATCTTAACTTTGTAAAACTAATAGGATCATCTATACCATACAGTCATACGATATCTAGCATTCGTGACCATCTCGCAGCAGTAATGACGAATTGCAAACTGACTGCCAGTTGTTGAGGTACATACGAGTATGTATAGATTTTTTTTCTCATAGTTCCTTGATAGAACATAAGGCCTTAATTTTTGAGAAAGTAGGTAAACAATTTATACATGTTTTTCATAGTTTTCAATAGCGACTTTCTCTCAATCTCATAGAAGCTCGGAAATATATCTCAGCGATATGCAACAAACTGTCCAACTTTTATTATGAGTAATGTGGAGACTTTGAGTCACCTATGCAATTGAATATAATTACACTCCATACAGAAGAATGTCCCATTCGGAGTACAGAATAGATGAACGCAGAGATGGACAGTGAGGTTATATTTTAAGAAGCTCATTATCAAGTTCTGAAACTGGACGACTAACTTCCAAGTCAATTGAATATGTTGGTTGAATCTAGGCTAATCGTTAGATCGAGCTTCACTTTCTATTAATGATGTGCGACTTGACACTATTTGAACAATGTCAGACTAAACTTTTTTACTCTTACTATAAATGTCAATGGGTTTTTGAGCAGGTTTTAAGTCGCAAGCTTCATTTCGCAAGCCGAGAGTGCGATACATAAGCAGCTTCGTGAATTTAAATCCAGCAGTTCACCACTGTTTTGAAAGATTTCAGTTTCATGGACTACCAAGCGGAAATGCCGACACCTCAGCCTAACGAATTTGCTAAAGTAAAATTGAATTAAGTTCACAAGGAAATACAATTAACACTAGTTATAAACCCTACATACAAATTTACTGATATATCAGCTAGTACAGTTTTCGGGAAGTAATTTGCCTTTATAGAGATTACGCGCGCATTACAATTATTAGATTTCGCAAAGTTCGCATACATTTTCAGCCTGTATTTATTGTATAAACATCGAATGAAATTTGAGATAATTTAGAGTTTTTATTTACATCTTCAATCGTCTCTTCTTACCTGGTGGAAAATTTGGTGGACGTTTCACTGACTGGATCAATGAGTAGAGCACATAACCCACGATAGTGGCGATCAGGAAGAGTACAACACTCATATCTAAAGTTTAAAATTGCGCAGCTGCTGTGAAAGACTCGTCAGTTTTTTGTTCTAATATTCCTTCACGATCCGATAACACGCGCGCGTTACGTGAAACGATGCGATCAACAATTTAATTTATTACCATAAATCACTGTTTTAATTTATAATATCAAGTTGTTTTAACTACTACTTTTGGTTTTTTGATTGTATTTGTAGGTCCTTTAAAACGTTACGTCGATTGTAGCGACCAAATTATTATAAAACGTCTTCTCGCGCCGATAACTCAGCGACAACTGATCGTCGGCGTCTGGCTCTTGCGGCCTATCAAGCGCTGGCGTTTAACGAACAATTCATTAATTTCTTAATTCCGTCGCTTTTTCTCATATTTTTTTTTGATATTACTGTTCGTTTGTATTTGCATTGTGTTTCATTTATTTATTTATCTTTTGTCAGCGCGGCCAACTACCGGCGATTTTCTGTATGCCGACCGCATGCATTAGACGCTGCACGCTCTCCCGATTACGATTTGATTAGCAAGCTTGCATATTGTTGCTGTAATTTTTAGAGGGTACACGTATTGTGCTTAGAATATATGATGCGTGTAAATAGTATTAGAAAAATACATAAGTAGATTAAGACGGGCTACTATTTTGGGATAGGTGTTAGATGGATCAGAGAAGACATGGCCGTATCGACATGAGGTAAAGGGGAAAGAGAGAGAGAAATAGACAGATAAAGTAAAAGGTAATAACTTTGAATTAGAATAATTCACAACTTGATTATACCATACTTTTGCTAATACAGATATCTAACGGAGAATACATCCCACAGAATGGCTCATTCGGGTATACATTGTTCTAAAGTAGTAGTAGTGGTTTGTCGATGTTTGGGCAAGCTTTTCATTTGGTTCTGAGTTGGAATATCAAAGTGTTTAATAGTTTTGTGTCAAAAATTCTAACCGGCTTGAATGGAAGGCAACGTTAGAGTTGAATTGGCGTCTAGACTATTCTCTATTGTGAAAGTAATCAAGATAAAATATACTTTCTTTTTAAACCAAATGTGTAAAACACTGTGAAATTCAAACTTTATAATTCCCTTCGGTTTTAAGAATAATTGAACGTTTACTGATTTACAAACTTAAAACTTTGCTCGCACTTCTTGATAGTTCAAATTGTAACATCGAAGTGAGGTGAATATAGGTTAAGTCAAAATGAACACTTTGAGTTTTTGTGCTTCTCTCTGACATTAAATATTTCGTATTTTATTTTCATCTCAAGAGATTTATTAAACTAAGCTTCAAAAATACATTTCCAACCAATTCAAATTGTGGTTATATACATGTATTTTAATGTAGAAGTTCTAAAAACTCCATTTTTGTTATTTATTTTCAAAGCTTAACCTGTCAAGAATACTATGCTCTGAACCGGATTAGACCAAATTTTCTTTTTCCGGAGGTCGAAACAACTTTTTTCAAACAGTTTCGCATGGTTTATCATGTCCCACTTAACTTATTTACTTGACATTTGATGTGAGTCTTTTCTATATATGTATGTTTCTATCGTACTAACTATGATTTATAACAAATTATAAAGTTTTACAATTTAAAAAAATTCAGAAAATCAAATATATTAAAAATAATTTTATATTTTCGAACAACCGCAAATTGGCAAAAAAAATGTTGAGTTAGTGGAATAGCAGTGTCTATGTACAATCGATAAATAATATTCTAAATTATTTTTTTTTTTTGTCTGAACATTTGAATGATTGCAATCGTGGCATACTTGATAAATTTTTGTTGAATTTTAAGTTTTTACTGTCAACAACAAATACATATGTGGTGACAGGAAGTTGGAACACCGCTGACAAGACTTGGCCAAATGAAGACAAACAATGTTCAAAAAGTGCGTTCGCCTTGAGGGATAATCTCAAGAGTTATTTTTATTAGTCACCACTTTAGACCAATTGAATTTCATAAATTTTATGGATATATTAATGTGTTACTATTTTTGTAATTTACATGTATGTACCTTATATATATATACAATATAGACTTATGTACGAATATATTAATATTTCACATATCTAAAAATATTTATTACATAAAGGAAATACATGTATAAAAAATTATTAAGAATTGTATACATGGTTTAGAATTTCCATTTTCAACTTCTCCTGCTGTTCATCTGATTTCTTCTGCAGAAGTTCGTCCAGCATCGCTAAAAATGCTCTATTTCTTGACTCCTTTTTTGCTGAAAACACCGTCTCAAGACTGCCGCAAAGATAGTTGGCACGTTCATTTGTATTATTCCTGCTTTCCTGCACTTGTTCGGATTTTTTCTGCAGAAGTTCGTCAAGCATGACTGAAAATACCTTATTTTTGCGCTTCACCTTAGCAGGCTGACTGCAAGGTTCCTGCGCCTCTTCGCTCAGCCGCTGGCGTTTTGATCCTTTTTTTGATTTAGGTGACTTATTGCTGCTTTGGCTATCATTTAACACACTCCTGTCCTGCAGAAATTCTATCCAATCGCAGTCGGTTGTTTGACATGAGTCGCTCTGTGTTATTGCAGGTGAGTAAATGGAAATTGGCTCGTCATCGATGCACGCTTGTGTATATGATTTCATTCTATAAATAAGAGTTAAATATCATTAACGTGTTAAAAGTTAAATTACAAATAAATTTGTTACTAACTTTCTAGGTTTAAGGTGTTTTTTTAAAAAACGCATTAACTCGAAGTAGCACCACTCATTCTTTTCCTCCGCAGTAGTCTCCGACTTCGATTGCTGCGACGCCACTTCCCGCACAAATCTATCGCGTAGTGATTTCCATCGCTGCTTGCACTGTTCCACTATTTAAGTAACGGAAAGTGAATAATTATTTTACTGGCACTTGAAAAATAACAAACACAAACCTGAGGCTCCTGTTAAAATCGCTACTGCCTCCCATGCTTCCTCCTTCAACATTTGGTTGCGAAAGTCTGTCGAGCTCCTATCATACAGGCACGGATGGACTTTAACGGCCTCAATTAACTTCACCTCCATTGTTTTCTCCGTAAATACTTAAACACTATTGTACATCACATTTATTGTTAGCGTATTTTATTTACCTTTAAAGCTAGTAAATACAATTGGGGCTTCGCTTTGCTTCAGACTTTTGCCTTTCCAAATAAATTCGCTGTACGAGTACGTTCAAACAAAACATTTTCAAATCGAAGCAAAGCGAAGCGAAACAAAATGTTGGGCAACTCTCATCTTTTACGCTGTGAAAATCAGCTGTTGCTATTTTTATTATTTATCTTTTTTTATATCTGTCCATTTTTCAATTGGACCGAAATAAATCTTTGAAATACTTATGTTAGTTTACCGAATCCATAAATATTAAAAGTATTAAAATACGAATTATTAAATAGTGTCCCTTCTGACTTATCCCATGTTTACTTCGCTGCAGTTATGGATAACGTTAAAATTTTGATATGTATAAATATAAGACATGAAACTCTTGGGGACTACTACAGGGTCAATATATTTTGAGCGCGATATTTATTGAACGCGCAGCATGCAACATATTTCCATATAAAAATCGTGGATCGCGGACCGTGGATCGCCCGTTAAACGTTAAATATTGATCGCGCGATCCACAACATCATGTATATAAAATATTTATAATTTTCAAAGATCCGGTGAATTCTTTACAATTGTTGCTAGTATTTTTTTGATCAAATGCTTCCTTTGAATTTTTACCTTCAAAATCATAGAAACTTTTCTTCAGCTTAATTTCGACATTTTATAAAAAAAAAGCAACCGAACAAATAATAAAGCAAATCATATTTGTTTCTAAAATCGATTAATTTCGAATAAATGCCAGCTCGTAATTATTCACTCGCGAATTATCTATCATCGATATGGATCACGATTCAAATACCACAATATATATTGAACGTTGTCAAAATGCTCATTGTTTGCAATAACTGACGGTGGTGCCACTGTGGGAAAAAATAAGTTTTGGGTTTTTTTGCGTATATTTCGGAGAACCCACTCATGCATGATAGACCTCGATAACAACTGATTTACCTCTCTTCCAATTAAACAACCGTTAAAACAGTATTTATAATAACAAACATTTTGTCCTTTTATACACAAAACTATGTGTATTGATGAATATGTATTTGTGAATCATGATATTTTTCCGTATGTGTGTAAAATGTTTATGTGACAAACTTATTCCTACGGAAATATATGAAAACTCATACGATTAGCACAAATAGTACAATTATAGTATGTTAAGTCATATGAAAGAAATTATACACATATGTATGTATTGTATACATACGTGGCACAAGTCCGCTTGAGTGCACTCGAATATACTTATTTGTATGTAAAAATCTGATGAATATGCTTATTTGTATCTAAAAATCTGATGAATACGAATTCAAAGGAAAACCGTATTTTTCGCTATAATATACTCAATATCAGTGGTCCATGGATTTTTAAATGCTCTCCATTCGCTTTGCAGTTGAATAAACGTATTATCCTTGCAACGAAAACGATAGACTTGAGTTGTCACCTTCTCCGGCACCTGTATAACCATTTTATGTGACTCGGCCAAAGCGGGAATGTCTTCATGATGGAAATAATCGTAAAAGCTGGTGCCGAGCATTTCCTGCGGCAAGAAACCGATGACCAGTGTAGCTCTAAGTGAGGTTTTTGGTAATAAAATTAGTAAATAAAATGGATAAAGTGACTCATTAGGAGACATACCTTTGATCTATGAAGAGGAATTTACCATCTACGGAATGTCTTGAGATGAATAGCACATGCCTTATATTGGGATGGTTGTCCAAAGACGGCGGCACATTGGATTCCAAAACATTTGGGGGTATTCTGCCAATAGCCACTAAACTGGAATGATTTGTCAAATTATCTTCACTTTCGCTATCTTGTTCTTCGTTTTTAATCGGTGTCCATGACTTCAAATAACCAGTACATTGTATAACGCGATATTTATGGTCGACGCTCAGCTTGGACTTTCGCTTTGTGGAGCTACGCGAGCTGGAGGATGTATCGGATTCCTCTTTAATTTGGTTATTATTTGATTTGAGTTTCATGCGGCAGAAGAATGAGCGACGCGCACCCGGACAAAGGCGGCATAAACTCTGTGGAATGTCGGTTTTGACGGGTAACATAGCTAGAAAGAAAAATTCACAAATTTAACCTTTTTGTTTTTGTAAATATAAGTAGGTGGGTCTATAATGGTTTACTTACTTTTTGCATCAATCAGCCGATCGCGCGGGCACGGATCTAACGAAGAAAGCTGTTCTTTAACTTTAGCCACATCCTTCGGATGCAATATGTCAAACCAACTCTGTCCGAGCAGATCCATTTGCGAGCAATTCAGCACTTGTGACACCGATTCTGAAACATATAAAATGCGTCCACGATCACAATCCACTACAAAAAGAAACCCCTCAGACGCCTGCAGTATCAGCATTTTAAGCTCCTGATCCGAGAGAAACGATGGCTTGTAATCTCCACCACTGTAGGGATGCACGCTACCACGTATGCTGCGCAGGTGCTGCACTGTGAGATAAAAAAAAATTCAAATTTTCTACAGATAGTCGACTAGACTATATTAAACCTGTATATTTAAGTACGGTTAGTTTATCTAATTTGCGTGGTACCACATAGCACATCGGTATCATGGACGAGAGCTCATTTATGTAGGTGTTCATTTTGTCACGGCGCCGCTTCTCGATTTCACTGTGATTTTGCCTGTAAATAAATACAATAATTGACATAAAAAAAAACAATAACACATATTTTTAATTATCATAAATAAAGAGTTGATTTATGCTTACTTGCGATTCTCATCTGAAGTGCGCGCCGATTTGGCATCATCGAAAGTCTCATCGTCCACCTCGTCCATTGCAGCGCTGTAAACACTAATTTTGACCTCTTTGAGTACTCGACTATGACTTTCTTATTTCTAAACTTAATTTATTCGACTACAAATATAGTATTTTGATGGATTGTAGTTTTTCCGGCTTCTTTACTTATAAAAAAAATACCATATGGTTCAATTATGCCACACACACTGCGCCCACTTGTGGCGCCTCCTTGCCTTTTTATAATCACTGTTATTCTTACACGCTTATAAACCTTTAAAGAAATAAATACATATATGTGTTACTCTTTGGTCATCTAAAATATTTTCACTGAAAATTGCACTATTTTATCTGCTCTACTGTCCTATTAGTATATACTTTGTAGAAAAAAACTCAATACAGCATAACGCACAGTTTCAATCATTACAAGTAATGGAAAAATGCATTTGACAAATGGAAACGACAGCTTTGAACTTTTGCACAAGCGCTAGCGGGTGGTTGGCGCGTTACGGAGGGTGGCAACTGATATATCTCTATGCATTTGCATTGTGAATAACTTGCTGGTCTTTCACCCCTCTGCTTTGTTTACATCCATGACAACCCATAAACTAGTAATGATTGATTCTTGCAAAAGCTCTACGCTCGCTGGAATCAGCGTTTGGCATGCATCAGAGGGTTTCGCACATTACTAGGTAAGTGATTGCGGAAGAGCTTTTTGAAGCGGGCATTTTAGCAGTTGTTAATAAACCGACAGTTGTATTATTAATGCATAAAAAATACAAAACTGCATTCAAATTCAAGAAAATAACTAGGAATAAAGTTGAGGTAATAAATTTAAATAATATGTAGATTAGACAAACTTTAAATAACATAAATTAAAGGAAATTATACAAGTGAATATTATAGTAAAATAACTGTCTTTGCTGTAATAATTCAAAATATCTAATTAGAGACACTGCAACGATATATTTGAAAGGGAATGCTATACAAGTTTGTGCTTTCAAGCGATCATTAAGTACAAAAAAAATTTACGTTTAGAAAATTTAAATTTTAAATAATGACAAAAATAATAATAATATGTATGCATGTGTTATAAAATTAATAAAAATAAAATTCAATATTTAATTTAATTAAATGTGCACCTTAAATTAAACAAAGAATGAAAAATTAAAATAAAAATTGAAAGTAATTTAAATTTAAGTAATTATAAATAATATGTAAATTCCAACAAAGTTATATGGAAATCTTGAACTAAAATCTAAAAAGTAAAATACTACTAAAATATATCAAAATTTAATGAAACAAAAACAAAACAGCAAAAAAATATATTACATTGAAGTCAATAATCAAATATTTAGTAAAGTGTGTTAAAAAATAAGACAAAATAAAATAATGTGAAATTAAATAAACCAAAATAAAGAGAAAAAGTAAAAATTTTTGAAATTGAAAAATCAAAACACGTTTAAGACGAACTTAAACATTATTAATAATATATAATTTCTTTCACATTAATTTGTATGTACATATGTATGGTATATATGTATATTATTAATTTGTTTTGTGTAAAAAAGATTTACAACTTGTTGATTAAGTTTAGTTTAAGTTAAAAGTCGCGAATTTTTTAATTCAAAAATATTGGACTAAATATTTAATTTTGATTTTGAGATTGAATATTTAAATTTTATTTAATAGTTAAATTCAAAATTTTAATTTTAAGCCCATAATCAGAATTAAAAATTGATAAAATATAAGTGTACTACAGTATTGAAGATGATCGCTGTAGTTCAAAATGGTAGAACACGAAGTAAAACAAATTTTTTTTTATTTAAATCTATTGGGATTAATTTTTTTTTTCAATAAATAATACCTCATTGAGAGTTAAATTTTTTCTTTTAAATAAGTAATAGTTTTCGAAAAATTAAGCTCAAATATGGATGTGAAATTCCAAAATTATTTTTACAGAAATCTTTACAAAAAGATAAAGGTATAATTTTTATTCCTACAAACAGTCTAATTATAAATAATGAAAATATCAATAATTTTAAACTAATGAAATAATTTGTTGCACTACTTTTAGTTTTTAAAATAATAATCATATAATATTTTAAATTACAAAAAAATTGTCATACTCAGTAATACATTAATATGTATATTATATTTAATTTTATTTTCACATTGGGTATATAGTGTTTTTATAAATTAAAATACAATTTAATAAATGTCATAATACTGCGCTTAAATTTTTTTTAAACGAGTAAATTGCACTTTTTAGCTCAATCCACATACTTTGAGCAAATAAATCGCATACGAACTTTTTGCTTTCCTAATCATTAGAAGGACAACATATTTTAAATAACATACAAATGCTGAACATTATTTTCCCTAAATATGATACATGTGTTCCAAACAAATACTTATGACTTGCATGTAACGATCCCACAAACAACGCGTCTCTTGATCGCTGCAAATAATTGATGTGATTGAATATTAAATTTATATAAAACATTTAATGCTTTTATTGAGTTTGTAACTTACCGCGAAATTTCTAAATCCAACACGCTTTGTGTTATGGCTGACAAAAATTTATTTACTTGCTCCTTACTCCAGCCATTTTGGCGCCATGGTTCTATCAATTTTTCACACAAGTCCAAAAACAAATCACGCAATTCACGATTACGATGCAAATTGCAAGCTATGGTAATAAATGCACGCCAATAGGAGCTGCAATGAAATATTTCCGGTAAAAACGAAAGTTTTAAAAAAAATGTATAAAAGCAAATAGTTACCGGAAATTCGTATCCAGCTCAAAGTAAGCACGTTCCAATAGCACTGGCTTCAAGCGCAGGCAAACAAGACTGCAGAACAAATATTACTATGCAACACATTTTATTATTTGCCAATTATAAAGTACTCACTGTTTAATTTCCTTCTCCTTGTCGAGCAAACAACGCAACTCACGCAAATCTAGCAAGAATTCTTTGTCCATTTCGGTATCGTAATATTCGGGACCTGAATGTTGATAGGTATAGGTCCAGTAGATCATAATAGCTTGTGAGCAAGCAAACAAGTCGGAGAAAGTCAAAAATTGCAGCTTCTTTTTGGAAGTTTCAAAACGTAGGCAGGCAAGAAAAACAATTGAGGCGTATTTTCTAAATAATACGAGATTAAAAATAAAAAATAGTTAGTAATTATGCCGCTGGTGACGATTAATAACTAAGAATATTTATTAAACTCACTTTGCTAACTCATCTGACACTGAAAATAGTTGCTTAATATTGTTTGTGATATTGCCTGGTAATTCTTCTACAGCTTTGAAAATGCGTTTGACATTGTCAAATTGACGCCTGCAATTAAAAATCGAATATCAATACACACAACTTTCTGTTACGAAATTTGCCACCAACCTGCATGACTTCAATTTAACACAAGTCTTTTCCGACACTTCATCCAAATCTTTCCTATAACGACTTGACAATTTTTTGCCCAGAATTTCACGCGCAACTAAGTCGTCGATGGAGTAATACCTGAAATCATTGCACAATTAATTAAAAATTATACTGTTGAAATTATTTGTTACTTTTCAATAATCAAATCACGCGTTTGTGGCTCCAACTGAAAACATGACTGTTCCAGCAATTTAGTTGGTGCATGCAGCAGACGCTCTATCAGAGAGTAGGTGCGATAATGGTCCAGCACGTCAGAGGCGATAAGATCAATTGGCGCTCCAAAATTGCTGCCGAATCCCTTCTGTTTCAGGTAGCAGACGGCCTCGCTTGCTAAAATAGGGAACACAAGGAAATGCAATAACTTATACAAGTAGTTTCTTTTAATTCTTACACGAAAATCCTTCTATCCATAATTGGTATATTTCTGGGTCCACTAGTGTATAGTTGGATATGAATACATCTACGTCCGCTAGCATACTTCAGCACAAAATAAAATGCCTAAAAACACAATAATTAAAATACTGCTGTTCTTATCAATTGAAAAACTTTTGGCATTTGCTTTTTCTCATTTGTTGACAGCTGTTTGTCATATTTTGTTTTGCTCAAGGTTTTCTTTGTTCGCGCACCAGAGTTGCTTAAGTTCGTTATAGTAGTTTTGAAGCATTTTACGTTGAGAGATTTTAGTGGTGCGTTTCACTATATCTAAATAGGGGGGGTCTTATATAAAATATTATTTGAAAGAATATAATAGAAATTAAGACGAGTATGTTTATTGACATTTTTCAAAAAAATTAATAAAATATATCAATTTGGTAGTGGACTGAATTGGTATTTATTTGATATAATATTAGGCATGCTGCTAAGATGATATATGTACTATTTAGCTTTTGGCTGGATAAAATGCGGATAAATCCCGGTAACATAGAACCATCTGTTGTGGGAATAGAAATAAACCTGATCTACTTCGATTTTTGGACACACTGTTGTTTTGCTTTTGAGGCCACAGAAGCAAAGGTAGATGAGACGACGAAGTGTGAACGAAGGAAAAGTACTATCAGTTCCTTCTTGTCATATGAATTATTAGTTGATTGTTTGAACCGGAAACGTTTCCTAAGAAAATCTAAATTCCCGCAATACCCAGACGATGCACAACTTGTGATACTTCGGAATCGATTAATTTCAACAAACAGTAAATGCCTTCCTCGACTCCCTACCAGCGGATGGCGACTTGGGAGTTAAATCAGCGCATATTGCAGATGAAATGTTCAAGCTAAAACCAAAGTGGTCCTTGCGCAAATTAATAGTTTTAACTTCACCTATCTATACCCAACCTTGACATACACAACATAAGTATATGTTTTATGCAATAGAATCGCGTGATACTAAACTGGCTCAATAATTTTTTACTCCAACACACTATTTTTAACGGTATCTCATTTAACCTCCTTTAACCCTCCCTTCGGTTCTTACGTATCGGAGCTTTTGGGATAACGGTTTATTATTATATTACAGCACTTTACAACACTATCCACCACACTAAACGGAAAAGGGGTTTGCGCGCGCATGAAACTCTTACTATAAATATAGAAAAAAGTAACAACAACAAATGTCAACAAAGTGTAATCATGAATGAATGCAACGACGAAGCTTCGTGCCAATTCAACATACACCGCACCAACGAAGTTTGCACTGGTGGGGTAGTGACTTTACATGCGTTTGTACTCGCTTGTTTTGCCGGCTATAAAGCGCGCCAAAACATGCCGAGTGTCGGCATCGGAAGTATGCGTGTAGTGGCGATGGTGTTGGTGGTGAGCTGTGAGGGTGGGCCCCTTCGGGTGGCACATGCCGACGCACAGTTACAATGCAACAACGCAGTCCACATACGCACCGTAGGCCGTGAGTTGGGTGCCGATGAGCAGGTTGATACACACACACATACAATTATACGTGCGCCACAAACTGACTACCAAGCGGGCTTTGGTGTATGTGCTTTGGCTGGCTAAATGCTTGTTGGACGCGCTTTGCTCGGTGTCGCCGCATTCAGTTGCGTTTTGTCGTTCATCGGCAGCGGTTCTGCGTTATTCAATTGAAGTTTTTTCGGTGATTTTAGTGTCGTGTTGTCTGGTACGTGCCGCTGCGCCAGTGCTAACGGTTTAAAGCGGAATGCATATAAGTTAAAAAGAAAACAACAAATGCAAATTTGTTGTTGCTAATAAAAGTGAAAAGTATTAAGCTGAAATAAAAGGCAAATATATAGTACTTATAATATGTGTGCTTGTAATAAATAAATTTAATGCAAAAATGCAGTGAAGCGCCTATACTCACACATACACACTCACATACAAGCACATGACGTGCATATATATAATGGAATTTAAATAATGTGTGTTTCTTTGCTTTTGACTTTTATGAAAAATAATTTGTATTCTTGTTGTGTGTCCCTGTGTTGTTTTTGGTAAAGTAAATAAATTACAATAACAAATATAAATTAAACATGGTGCTGCAATTTTGTTTCGCGCTCATAAGTGTACTTGTTCTTGTTGTTGTACTTTTTTGTGTGCCTTGCAAATTTTCTTGCATTTTTCTAGCGCGTTCAACAGGTGCTTTGCCAGCCAGCAAGACAAGGCCAGCAATTTTTTTTGGATGTTTTTATTTTTATTGTTGCTTCTGCGTTCTTTGTTTATTTTAGTGCTATAAAATGTTGCTTATTGTTGTTTTTTTCTTGTTTAATTTTGTGTTGCCGAAGTTTCGGCCTGTTTGCTTATGTTCTTGTTTGCGCAATTTCTGACTGCATTTGCTTTGGTTGACAATTTGCGGAGCGGAAAAAAACTTTGTTTGAAAAAGTGGAAATATACCTTATTAGTGTATGAGTGTGTATAAATTTTTATAAGAGTATCGCAAAATTATTCTTGTTTGCCAGTTATCTGAAAAATATCGTTTTTTTTCGATATAGCAAGCAAATGCAACGATAGGCACGATAAAATTCAAGAAAAAACCTTTTATTAATAAATTCAAAATTAAAAAAAAATTAATTAAGTATACAAATTTTCTAAATACATACATAAATGTATTATACATACCTACTTATACAGTTTTGCTCTAAAAAAAAGGCAACAACATTTTGAGTTTTGAAATTTATTTTATTTTTTCTTTCGCTTTCTTTTTTCTTTTCAATTATATTCAATCACACTTTTTTGTTATTTGATTTTTGCAAAATTTTTGAATGTCACACCCGTTTCAGCATTTACATATTTAAGCGAGAGAAATAGAAAAGAACCATTATTTTGCATAATTTCGTGATGTACTTTAATTCTGAAATGGCAGATTGGCAATAACAATAACAATTAAGAATAAAAATAATAACTTAAGGAATTAAATGCATACACGTTTATGCAAAAATATAGAATGACGTCAGGCAATTTGATTTTTTTGATTTATAAAAAATATTCAATTTGATTTTAGTTTTTTAATTTATAAAAAAACTCAAGGCTTATTTAAGCTAAGTCAGCACTTTTACTTACTCAGGTACGCTTTCTTCCAATTCTTTGTAGTTGGTATTATAAGGAAATAATTCGTGCTGAAATTTTTTAGAGAACTGGTCCACGCTAGTTAAGAAACACTTTCTATGAAGTGATATTAGGACGTCCTAAATCAAATTTATAACTCGTCCTGTGTCGATACATCCATTATACCGAACTTCAAACTTTTCGATAACATTTTGAAAAACAATCTTTCTTTTGTTTCAAAAAACAATATACGAACTCGGGTATTACCTCTTCATTGTTCGTAAATTTCTTTCTAGATAGCATATTCTTGAGTTGTTGAGACAGGAAATTGACGCTATTGCCGGATCCTGACGCTACGAAGCAATTTGAAATCTGTCATCTTTTTAATTGATTTGCGGGTTACAATTTTTGCATTATTTGACAATATAAGTTTCATTGACTATATCCACCTTATGAGAGGTTTACTTTATGGCAAATATATTCTGAATTTCACTTTAGGGACTATATTTTTACGCGTCTTCAATTTACTACTTCTCTGTGCACTCTCTTGGCAAAAATAAATGCATAGTTTTCTAACTTTTAATAAAATTAATTATTTGGTGTTTCAGAAAACAAGCCACATTTTTTCTTTAATATTGCGTCTATAATTATATTCGTCCAGGTGTTTTAGAAATTTGAAATTATTATTTAAGAAAAACATGTACAATAATATTATTCAAAGTATTGTCCATCTGAAGCTGTAACATTTTCCCGATTTGTGGATTCCATCCCAAAAGAACTACGCCGACTTGGCGGCCAAATCATCAAATCTTTGATATGAACCATAAACCAGTGAGAGCGTCTGCATCGACCGGAACAAATGGTAGTCAGAAGGTGCAAGGTCTGGGCTATAAGGTGAGTGTGGCAAAACTTTCCGATGCAAAAATGTAGCGTTCAAGCAGCATTTCTGACATGCAAAATTGTCTTTCAACGTCTCGTGAGTTTAATTAATATGACAAACAATTTGCTTGACTTTTAATGTATCCGCCATTTTTAAATGGCTGCTTGAGTGACTCGCAAATATTCTGCGTAGTCTTTCTGTGTTTAACAACAATCTTTATAGAGTAATGGTTCCAGTTCTACATTCTGAAAATTTGTTTGGCCGCCTGGGCATATATTGATTGAGTTATAAATTCAATCAAAAAGTCTAAAATCACTATATTAGGTACATTTGGGCTAGGGGAAGTTTTGGACTAATTGCGTTTACCTTTGGCATTAAAGTAAATACTAAAGTAAAGTGACATATAATATCACTATCACCTAATTTTTTAAACCCTGAACAGTGTATAATAATTTTGCAAGAAAGAAACGTCGGAGGTCATATAAAATACATAGTACAAGTATATACCAGTAAATGATCAGCATGATGAGCTGAGTCGATCAGGTCCATCAGTCTGTATAAACGCGAAGTAGTATCTCAGTTCGATCTGAAATTTTGTCCACGTCCTTTTCTTCCCAAGAAGCTATTCATTTGTCGTAATCGCTGATATCGAACCACTATAGCATATAGCTGTCATACAAATTGAACGATCGGTTTCAAATGTTTGTATGGAAAACTTTTTCATTTCACGAGATATCTTCACAAAATTTGGCATGGATTTTTGTCGAAGACAACGATGCAATCTCCGTTGAAATTGTTCAGATCGGTTCACTGTAGCATATAGCTGCCATACAAACTGGCCAATCAAAATCAAATTCTTGCAACATATGGAACCTTTTTGTATTTGTGAAAGATATTAATATCTTTTTCCTACAGAAAATTTGAATTTCTTTCTCATAAAGTAGTTTTCATTACTTTTTATTGCGTTTCTAGGAATTTCTTAATTTGGAATCGCCTGAATATTTATGTACCTACGTCTCTACCCAAGTGCAAAATAACAAAGAAAACAATATATGTTATGGTATTAATAATAAATAATAAAACGGTAAAAAATGCTAACGATTTGTCTGCAAAGGCTTCCAGTCGTGACGTGCGCCACCTTTATTACTGTTTGCGTTTTCAATTTTTCCCAGCCCATTTAACATATTAAATGAAAAAATTTCGTTTAGCAAGCAAATAAAATGAAATTAATAAAGTTTGTTTCTGAGCTTGCGCAACC